TTTTGAAAGCTCCTTCTTTAGTTGAGCATGGTTGTACTTCTTCCGATTTCAATGAACCATCATTCGGTTGCTGTGCGTCGACATGTCAGGCACCGGCCAAGAAAAGGGCGCACGCATTGCAAAGCAAGCAGCTCATGAGGCACGGCATGAAGTGAAGGCCAAACGCTTCAGCGCGCCCTTGCGTGGGTATGTGTCGCATGTGCGAAGCGCCATATGTTCCTAGATAGCACGGTCCGCGTCACAGACGCTTCCAATGAAACCCTCGGGCTTTAGTCGTCTCTTCTAGCAGTCGGATCACGCTTCCTATGGTTTGCTCCAAAACTTTGGGAGATTCTCAGACCGTTTGTAAAGGAGCCCACGTTTGCGGCATGCAACACGCCGTGGCATGTTCTTCTGCTCAGCTTACAAATCCTAAGCTTCCGAACGAAGAAACTTACCGTTCCCAAACTAACATGCTTTATCCATATGATCACGGTCCTAGGTCTTTCGGTTTCAGATATCTGGCTACTTTGAAAGGACCCCGAACGATGTGACTAAACTGTTGCTTGCTGCCTGCTGAGAGGAATATAGATACAAAGCCTCAAACCAGATTTGTCCACCTCTTCCTGCAGGTCATCTCCACATTTGGCGTCTCTTGGCAGCGATGCTGTTGAACAAATCTTGCATGACCTTACATTTTGGATCCCTAGGAGCACGATTGTGTGCTCTACCTAGCTAGGGCCGCGCAAGCTCTACACCCTAAACCTTAAACCCTGCCACCAGCCACCGCTTAGGTCCAGATATTGACTCTTGAAGAAATGAAGATTCCGTGGAAGAAAAATGGATTACGGTTGACCTTCTTTCATCCAGCCTCCAGTTGGCATTTGTAAGCCCCAAATCCTACACTTAGGGTGTAGGGGCACTTCTTTCGCCTTCTGGGTATCCTGTTCAGACTACAACATGCAGCGTACAGCATGAAGAGTAACACGCGGCAGCGCACGCTTCGCAGCTGGATAGCTGGGCTCTTTTGCTGGCTCAGCCCTACCGCCACACTGCCCGTACTGCACTGGCTTTGATTGCACCGGCTTTGATTGCACCCTCGGTCCCCTCTTCAGTGCGTCACATATTCTGAACGTATGAAGCCCAGATTTTCAGAAAATCTTAGATGCGCTGTCAACAGTGGAATGCAAATTTCGTTAAGTGTTCATGTAAGAGTGCAAGACAGGCCCAATCAAGAGCGTCTGTATTTAATCCGATCATTGACCCACAAGCGCTGCACGCCAACTCTTGAGAATCTGGGCCACCAGCCACAACAGCTGAATTTTCTTCGATGTTTGCCATGATAAGGTGTACGTCCCTGAATTCATCCCAGGATGCGGAAAGTGGCCTCTTCACCTTGGTGGTTCGAAATTCATTTCTGAACGTGGATTTCGCGCCGTCCTGAGGGGTCTGTGCGAAGGGCGCGTGTTTTGCCCTAAATGGCTCCAGGTTCGACGGGCCGATGGTCGGAGGGATGTGTTGTAGCAAGATGTGGGGGACGGGCCTCATGGTCTGCGGGAGCAAAAGCAACTTAAGGCTGAATCTTGAAGGTTTCAGGCTTCGACGAATCAGATGGCTTAGGGCTCAATGTTCACAAGCCTCAGGGCGCTTTGTCAGGTACAGGCGAGTTTTGGGGTTTATTGGATGGTATGAGGTGGTTCACCATTGCAAGACTTTAAAAGTGTAGGGGACCGTTGATTCTGCAACCCCTGAGCCAAAACTGTGAACCCCAAACTGGTTTCCTGCGGCTGCTACTCGCAAGAGCACGCCTGCATGGAGTCCATCTCTCCTGCTTCCCCCGGCTTGTGGACTTTAATCTTTAAAGCCAGTTTTGCAACCTTGTGACCTTGGACTCTAGCATAATGTGTTAATCATGAAGTCGGTTGGGCGAGTATGAGTTGAAGCTGGCATTAGTTTCGTGTCGTCGGGCTCGGGCAGATCGGGTAGTGCCTAGTCCGTCCTACCAGTTGAACTAGATTTTCAGTCCGGCGCTGCCGTTGTGACCTCTCCCCGCAACCTGAACTTTGATTTCCTAGGCGTTGCCTTGTGGAGGCGACTGAGTCTTTTGGAGGAGCAGGCAAGCCGCAGGGACGAACTGGAATGGCGCTTTCAAAAGAAAAGTGCCTGCATGCGAGCGCGAGGTTTAAATTGATTCGTTTTGATAGCTTTGACGTAAAATCTGATCCAAAACGAAGGGCGTGAACACTATAGGTACCGTTGGCAGATGAGGCAGCGCTTGCAGGCGCAAGTGCAGATACTGCACATCCACATGTATTGTTGCGTCATGTGGAAGTCCGTGCCTGTGCAAGGTCAGCGCTTTTCAGTGTCAAAGCTGGACATGCAAAATCAGCACAACGGCACTTTTGCTTGAGCAACTCAAGTACCAGCCCAAGAAATCAAAACTAGCTAAAGTCGCTATATCAAAGTTTGCTACAGGCTGTAAGGTTCTGAAGGCATGCAAGAGTTAGTACACAGTTGCCACCCGGAGCCATGAGTTACGCTACTGGCACGACAGCATTTCGGCGTTTTCTTCGAAAGGCGGGGTTCAGATAACCGGCGTTTATGGGTTTGGACATTGTCGTCTTCCTGAAGCAAACGGGCCAACATGTTTCCAACTTGCCGACTCAGTCTGTACTTGTGGAGGGTTGTGCGGCATAGGATTTTCGGCTTGAAGGCTCTAGGGCTGCAAAACCTCATGAGCATGTGAGATTCAAGACTTGAATGGTACATCTTTTCAAGCTGAGATAAGTTGAGCCGTATCCCAAACAGGGCACTTGATCGGGCTTTCACAGGGTGACTTAACCCTATACCCCCTAGCATTGATTAGAGCAAATTTCAAGGGTATCCCGTGCGGTAAAATGCAACTTGCTTGTTCCGCCGTTTTCTGCAGGAGGCGGGATGGGTTTTGCTTTCCGGCGTTCATTGGTTTGGGCTTGCAGACGGGCGAGCATGTGGATGGCTGTACAAATCTTATCAGCATCTTGGCTTAGGGTTGGGAATGCAAGTTCTTTAGCTGAGATAGTTTTGAACTAAAACCAGACCCACGGGCTGAGTCGGGCAGGATCTCCCATCTTTCCGCCATTATGACACAGTATCCTGCGCAAAGGTCCCTGTGGTGACTTATGTAATGTATTCCTTGATTTCCCTACTACGCCCAGAAAGGGAGAGCAAACGTAAGCACCAGTTGGACTTCTCATGTTCTCAGACGGTGCCTTGTACAAAATCCGTCTGTGTACATTTTGGCCGCTGTTGGGTTCTTTAATCCAACCCTGGGCCCTAGACGACACCCAACACAAACCCCACAATTTGGGACATAACCCTCTAAAATCCAAGGGTTCTCACCTGCAACTGCTACGTCTAAGATTTTGATACTGCCCCCCTTCATGAACAGCTCGAGAATATTCATATTATAACCACATAGAGCCCCAAACCGTAAACCCTAAACCTTTAAACCCACCCTGAAACCTAAACTCTAAGTCTTACACCCTAGGCCCCAAACCCTAAACCTTCAACCCTAAAGCTTAAAACCTAAACTCTAAACCTTCGACGGTAAACCCTAAACCTTAAATTTCAAACCTTAAACCCTCAACCCTCGAAGACCAGCCTCTGCAGTCCCCACAGCCCCGGGCATGCAAGAAGCTACGGACGATGTCCAAGTCAAGGTATGAACGTACACTACTATTCTAATTATTCGTGCTCTGTCTATTACCATTATGATTCGTAGTACCAGTGGCCGCGCATAAGTGAAGCTTCGGAGGATTTACGGCCATTCAGATGCACATGTGGGATTACAGGAGGCCAGCGACTTGCCAACAGTCGCACGCACAACTGTTGGAGGGCGTTCTAGCAGAATTTCGGGTTGGCGTGTTCTCGCGTTCTACATGAAATGGAGGGATGGAATAGGATTTCCGTCTGTTTTTTGCTGCACAAACCAGCTGTATCGTTTTACCACCGTTAGGACAGCACTCCTTCGCTCCCCAACAAACATCGGGTCGAGGGATGCGGTAACCCACTAAATTTTGGATTCAGAATTTGATTGCTTCAGAGTTGCTCCGAGTGGGAGCGTGGCTTGCTCTTCAGCCGTCATGGGCTTTTAGGGTTAAGGGCTTAACAAGACTAATAGGGAAGTTCATATGTTTGGGGTGTCATTCAATCCATTTCGGTTTCTGGGCTTGCCAGCTCATCAGAAGGAAGCATAGAGCACTTTCGAGTGGCAACCTTGGAAGCGTTACACCTCATGCTGATACGTCATACGCGGGAACGACAGATGCCTTCATAGTTGACCCAGCGCTCGGTGATTGCAGCTGGAGCCAGGGCCCTGTCACTATAGGGGCCAAAATAATGACACTACAGGATGGATTATGGCCCTAGATTCCATACATATGCATAGTGCAAGGTACCTCAAATCGCCTTCAATATGATAATGCAAATCATTTAGGATAATTTGTACGATTAACTCTCTATATAATGCCAGTTTCCATTTCGTTGCCATGTTCTTGTCCATCTGATTTCTCATGATTGGGGCAACATCTCTATAAACCCCCTACATAATCCCCCCAGATATCCTTATAACTCTCTCTCTCTCTCTCTCTCTATATATATCCCTGGGTAATCCCTCATATAACCCCTTCTTATCACTTGGTACTAGGACGCACTTGCTGGACGAAGGCCAGATTTTGCTGTGGCGTTGCGCGTGCCTTGCGATAATCCCTACGTGGATGATCTAGGCATTATACAGGGTTTAGGGTTTAGGGCTTAGGGTTTGAAAATAAGGTTGTATATAAGAATTGTATCGGGATTATGTCCCAAGAAGTATAGCTTCTAGTGGTGAACATGCTCCCTGCTATGGGTGCAGTATGGCCATTCTTACATGTGCATGGGTGCATGACTCTGTCATCAAGAAGACGCATCTTGCGGAACGGATTTCTGTCAGCTGTGACTTGAAATAGCCTCGCTGCAATTTCTCTCGGCTCAGGCACAAGTTCCTTTGTCCCCACATGCCAGACGGCAAAAAGCGCAAGTGCGCCCCAGGAGAACAGGAGATGAATTCCAGAGATGTCCGAGAGCTGAATGACGAGGAGGAGGTGCTGCTGCGTTTTTAAAGAATTTTGAGTTTTGTGCCAAAACCATGATCCATTTTAGGCAGGTCGTTTTTCGGAGTACGCCGCTACTTCCGTTATTTCTTTGACTCAGGTAGCGGACTGCGTGTCAACGAGCAAACTCGCAGGCAGATGTCTGCCAAGGTCGACTTCAATCCCATGCTACATGTACATGATAGCAGCAACCGCTTCTTTGAACTCTGTGGACTACGGCTTTGATATTGGAGTCAGTTCAGGTGTCGCTCTCTACCTGCGTGAGACTTTCCATATTGGAGATGTGCAGGTGGGGTGGTTCTTCTCCCTTGTGCCAATCACAGCAGGAATTGGAGCTCTTATTGCACACTGGGTTTCAGACCGCTTTGGGCGCAAAGGCAACTTCTTAGGTTCCCAGGTCATTGGCATCACGGGCGTTACCCTGTGCGCTCTGTCCGTCTCCTACGAGATGATTTTAGTTGGCCGCTGCCTTGTAGGAATTAGCATGGGTATTGGCATGTCAATCGATCCGATGTACATCTCCGAGACCGCGCCGGCGGAGCACCGTGGCAAGTTGACGACCTGGGCCGAAATGTCCACGAACATGGGTATAGTGTTGGGATTCTTCTTCAACTGGCTTTTCAAGGATCTGCCTGAGAATGTGAACTGGAGGGTGATGCTTTTGTGTGGCATCTTCATTCCAAGTCTGCTCATAATCCTTACGCTGGCATTCATGCCCGAGTCTCCCCGCTGGCTCATCACGAAAGGCCGGACCGAGGAGGCAAAACGCGTCTTGAGGAGGACACACCCAGAAGGTGCAGACATTGATGCTGTTGTGCAGAGTATTGTTGAAGACATCCAGCAAGCAGAGCTGCACGAAGCAACTACCTGGAAGAGTGTCCTCTGCCCTGCCAAGCAGTACCGCCACACGGTGTGGCTGGCCTTCTTCATCGCCGTATCTCAGCAGATTAACGGAGTGGAAGGTGTGCTTTTCTATGCGCCTACGCTCTATGAACGAGCTGGCGTTGCAGAGACGAAGGAGGATCAGTTCACATTGACTGTCACACTGGGTTTGGTGAAGGTCATCTTCATCGGCGTTTCCATGGCTGTGCTCGATTCCATGGGCAGACGCCCTTTGCTCATCAGCGGCAGCATGGGCATGGTGCTGAGCCTGATGATGGTCAGCCTCGGCTCCAATCGTGACTTGGACGTCGGAATCCTTGCCGTGATCGGGACGTTTGCCTTTGTAGCTTTCTTCTCCATTGGCTTTGGACCAGTGTGCTGGCTCTATGCCTCGGAGCTGTTTCCTTCAACACTCCGCAGCAAAGGCATGAGCCTTTGCGTTCTGGTGAACCGGGCGGGAGCTGCCTTCGTGAACCTCGGCTTCCTTCCCTTGTCCAATCTCCTGGGGGGGCAGGCCGCCCTCTTCGGATTGTACGCTGCCATAACGGCCATGATTACTGTGGTCGCAGTCGTCACGGCCATAGAAACCAAAGGGAAGACCTTGGAAGAGATCTCGGCTCCTAAGAGCCAGAAGAGCCCAGAAGGACCTCTTAGGCATGGGGTTGTTTGAATTTACACCGGACAGTCTGCCCTGCTGACGCTGCCGACTTGGCTGGGTCCACTGTGGTGACTCCACATGGTCCCTGTATATGGTTTTGAGCCAAATCCGCAGCCTCAGCACAGATACAGACAAAGGGCATCACTTGCTGGTGAGCAGGCTGTACAGCAACATCCATCTTTACAGGGCATTGCAAGCCTTCGCATGCGGAGTGGATGCAATCCGCCAGACCTGAATGCGTCTTTACAGGATCTACGCTGCAGGAATGCTTTGTGTTCGTCCATGTTTGGCCCATGCCCTGCCCAGAGGCATACCGATCAGTTACAACTTTGTTGAGCCCATGGGAATTTTCCACGTTTAACTCAGTGCAGCATGATGGGATGCCTTGCCCACATTGCTTGTGCCTAGACGAAGCTTCTCAAACGTATGGGTCCTTTGGAGGCGTGAGGTTCTCACTGAATGCGCTACATGCAGTAGCAATGGTAATGCTTTCGTGGGTAGGGAAGCCTGGTGTTGAGAAATAGCCCAAATGTGGGCAACTTGTAACATAGCTGTGGTCGATATCGTGTACAAATCCGAGGGCATGTCTTGACCGTGAACATCCGTAAGCTCTAGGAGCCTAGGGAATTATCAACGTGTTTCTTTGTACACAGCCTACATTTGTAGACTATGATTCTTGCCCTTGCTGCTGTGCTAATCATAAGTTGTTTTTGTGTCTAATTCTGATGAGAATAGTAAAGCCCCTGCTCTGGACTGTGAGAAGAACAGCTATGCAGTGAAAGATCGAAAGGGCACGTGCTAGGTATCCAGATCATCTCTCTCTGCCTCAGCAACACCGCAATATCTATACTGGTCGGTGTCGGACTTTTCCATCAAAGTGAAGTTCATAGCTTATTGTAGTCCGTACTTGTAGCTGTAGCCGAAGTTGAGGCTTTAAACTCTCCCACTTCTATACCGAGAACCACCCATAAATCTCCAAGTAGGGCTGTTTGCCAGGCCTGGTTCAAACTACACTTGAGTGACTGGGTGCTGATCCCGGGCTGGAGATTCCAGCTGCAAGGGAAAAAAGCGACAAGAACTGCAACAGGTCTTCAGTGAAGGCATACTGAAGGTTCAGCTCCTATGGGCACAGGTGACGGCATTTGGACGCGCTTGATTGCTTTGCAAGTGCTTTGAGGAACGCCCAACAGCCGCTAGAATGTTGACACCCTGTGGTGCCGGGGTTGCTCCACACACCAGCTTTCGCAGTGTACCCTGTCAAAAACTAAGTATTTTCTGATCTGCTGTATTCTCTTATAAGGCTCAGGTTCCGAGTCAGTGCTCTGGACTTGTCCAATCAAACGTGCTACACGCTTCGCCTGCCATGCCTTCGTATAACAACGCCAGCTGATATGGGGATTCTACTGTTACCTGAGCTCCGCATTCATGTGACGGTCGCCCATGTGGGGCCCACCCTGGTGACAAAGGCTCTGCTGAAGCAGAAGAACACACCCGGGGATTCCTATGTTTTAGAATTATTTTGAGTTTGTAATATAGTATAACCTTTAGGAATTCTTGAAGATACTGTGATTATTTAGGTCTAGGGGAATTACGAAAAGGGCAATTAACTTGGACTGAAGCCTTGGTAATTTCCCCAAAGTTGGAGACCCCAATATAGACCCAAAAATGCCATAATCTTTATTCTTGGGCCCCCCAAAAAAGGCACCCACGAATTTGGGAACCCCTCTTTTTGTTACTTTCTGCATGAGAATTTCTCTGATCCTGTTGGATGTTGATAGCCCAATCCTTGTGCATACACCCTGCTTTCAGAAAGCTACCATACCATGTGATGGGCAGAGATCTTAAGAGGCAGGTATCAAGGGTCTGCGAAAAGTCGGTTGGCCTCTCCTACCCAGAAGCTTACCCACAGCCCTTCAGAATCTCCTTCCACTGGCATTTCAAAAGTAGTTTGCGTTGGGTACTGCCCCCCGTCTGTAACAGCGGGATACTATGTATAATATAGTTGTATATGGCCCTTAATATGAACCCTAAGGGCCCTTAACACGACCCCCTAAGATGGACTGTTACAGTGCGGGGGCAGTACCCCAAGTTCGTGCGGGGACAGGGCATGACTTGTACGAGCAGCCTTCTTTTGCTCAGCCAGTGGCGCGCATACGGGTCCCCAAAATTAGGGGTACCTTGTTGAGGGTCCTTATAATAAAGATTGCAGTATTGTGAGGTCCATATTGGGGTCTCCTTATTTTGGGAAACTACGAAGTGTCTGTCGCAAGTCAGCTGTTGCAAAGCCACCGAGCTGCATCCTAAACCCAGAAGCAACAACAGGTAAGATTGTCTTGGCAAAGGTCCACTCAGCCTAACAGGGCGGTACAGAACTTTGCGTAAGCCAGAAGTAGGACTAAGAAGTCCATAGAAGTAGAAGCAGCACTACCCAACATGAGCAATAGTCTACAATGCTTCAAGGGGGGCTATGTAGGGGAATATTATAGGGGTTACTAAGGGGGATACTAGGAGTTTAGACTCTAGCTCACATGATACCCTCCTCATATCCTTTGTTATATGTACTCGGGGATGCTCTTCTGTAAGCGTCCGCGCCATGAGCATGGCAACGGGGTGTGCTGGGGCCAGCCTCCGCACATATAGCCAGGAGACGATTTAGGGGTTTTATGTACCCGAATCCCCCAAGTATGTAGCAGGAGATCCTTTTCTGCTCCGTGTATGGATTTGGGGTAATAATGTCACCTACTTTGGGGAGGGTTTTTTGAGTTGTAGCGTTTACGGGTCAGAGTTTGGGGTGCACACGGTCTAGGGGTATATGCGTTTAGGGGATCCGCGGAGGGCAGGGGTTTCAGACTTCCATTTGTTAAACATGCTCAGCACGCCATAGTGTCCACATGCGCCACTTGATTTCCGAACTAGGACCCCTACTAATATGGGGTTTTCGAAGCAACAATCCGCCACCATTTTCTGTCCATCACGCAAAGAATGATACCCGTGCCCCCATGAACCCTTCAAGCAAGAGAAGCCTGAGGAGCATCGCTTGCCGACGCTTCAACAAGGCGGTCAAAAATGCCCAGGCGACCTGTAGCATGTGTAGATGAATGTTCAGAAAATGGGGGAGGATTCTTTGCCCATCGCATTATGCGAGCCCTACACCTAACTACGTAACGTCAATGAAAACTCAAATACACCAGCATGCTCAGATAAACGCTGGTTGTGTCTACATTTCGGAGTTTGGCGCTTTGAAGCTGCGGGCCGTGAATTTGATATCCCCTTCTGCATTGTCGCTTCACCTGAGCTTTTGTACAGGGAGGCCTCAAGGCCAATTTGGCACTGGTTGAAGCTTCAGTTTTTGTGAGCTGCACGCTGTATACTTGTGGTTTTATGCTGTGGCGCGCACGCTGCACGCAGGAAAGAGAGCAAGAAGAGCAGCCACGACGGTGAGCGTACCGTCGCCATTGGGGCATCTCATGGCAAGGTGGCAGGGGCCCATTTTCCTGTGAATACGATCACCACCTCCAAGTACTCCTGGTATTCCTTTCTGCCTCTGGTGACTTTGGAACAGTTTCTGGATCAGTCTTGGGCAAGATTTTACATGCTGCGTGTTACTTAAGCTCAGTAGGGGAGGCAATGGGAGGGTAATCCTTGCTCTGCATAGCCAAGGTTTCAGAAAAGAGCAAACGTTTACTTTACATTCATCACATTTCTGATGTATGTGGGTGAACACAGCACCTTCATTGACTCCACAGTTTCATGGTGGTCTACAGCAGCAGTTCTGATTCCGATGATGGGCTTGAGCATGGTCATATCTGGAAGCTTGGACTTGTTTCATGGGGCTAAGGGCTTTCGGGTTGTACGGAGATGCCAGTTGTGCCCGATTGGGCATAGACATGGCTTCTGGCCGGGGTAAATGCGAAGATCTCGCGCTGACAGCAATAGGCTGGCAGGGGTTCCGGGTTCGCGTGCAATTCAGGTGACTGCCGGAAGCAGCTTTCCGGGTGCGAAAGCCTTGCTGCTGCCAACAGCTTTCCGGGTAGAAAAGGGGGGACTTGAAAACCCTGGGAGGGGCGTGGGGCCTGGATACAATCTGGAAACGGGCGGGTGGGTGGGTGGGTGGATCGGGGTGGTGAGTGCATGGGTTGGGGGCTGGGGTGTAGGGAAAAGAGACGGGGCAGTTTAGGGGATGGGGCACCTCCCCACCTTTTCCGGAATTTGCACTCCCCTGCGCGGTCCCTTTTGCCCTCAGTCCTTAATGGCTCTAATGCAAAAAGTATGGACATCGGCATTGGTGTCCCTAAATCCCCTGTATGCCACACGCGATCAAACATGATAATACCATATTGAGGTGTGGCGGGGGTGGGGGGTATCATGTTCGGCTGTTACTGGTGCATGTAGCTTAGTGATGTCCAACGATCTTTCCGAGCCTGCCATCACATTTGCGGGATCCATTTTTTGTTTTAGCAGTGCTGTCGCCGAGGATCACTCTACTTGACGCATTTTGCATTGCAGTTCCCGAAGACTGCATGTACAGGCTCCCCAAAATCATCTGAAACTCGCGCCACTCCACTTCGAGTACTGCCCCAGTCCTGCACGATGTGTTGCCCAGGTACTACGCAATTGCCCATAGTAAACCTTGAGGCCAGTGACTGTCCAGCTCGGTTACGGGGAGGCACCCACAACAAGCGTCTAAAGTGCGCCACCGCAAGTCCCCTGAAGCTAAACACACTTAACGCAAGCAACCCCAGATGTATTCACCCCTTAAGAAACAGGCTAAACAGCTACCAGTGGTAGTTTCCAGAAACGAGGGCACCCCAATCTAGACCCCCAAAAAGTATAATGCTTATCATGGGGATCCCCAAAAAAGTATCCCCGACCTTGGGAAATCCCCAAGTCCTTGATTTCAGCCATAGTCTAAACTCCTAGCATCCCCATTAATAACCCCTATAGTAGTCCCCTACATACTCCCTTATATAACCCGCTTGAAGGAGTTCAGACCCTAAACCCTAAACTAAGCCCCATAGTAGTTTCCATTTACCTTTCCATTACCGCAATGTAATAACCTCAATGTGCCCGAATATTATCCCAATATAACCACTATGTAACCCCAGTTTCCGTTTAGTTTTCCATGTTCTTTTCCCTCTGATTCTCCAACCCTCATTTCCAGGATTGGATGGTAGACCCTGAACTCTAAACCCTGTAGTAGTTTTCATTTTCTTTTCCGTTTCCCCAATATAACCCCAATATCACCTCATTGCAAGGATTGGATGACTTGCGGCGGCACCAGTCTGATCGCCAGATCAACTCACAGCAAGCCCGAGTCATCCGCTTGGGTGGGACACTGGGCTCATGTATACGTAGACATGGAAAAGAAAGTGGAAACTACTATTTCGGGTTTAGGGGCTATATAGGCTATAGTCAAATACTCCTTGAAGTGGGGCTCTATAGGGAACTCTATAGGGGAGTGTTATAGGGCTTATTAAGGGGATACTCGGAGTTTAGGCTATAGCTCATATGGGGGTTATATGAGCGACCGCTTTTATTGTCGTGTAGGAGCCTAAGGTCAGGCAGCGATAACAACATCCAGACATGAACAAAACCTTAGTAAAAGAATAAGCCCCGCCCCCAAAGCGATACAGCAAAATGGTCGGCTTATAAGGATCCCATCCAAAATCAAAGATGTGGGGCATCCAGGGCAGGGATCGGGCAAAACACTGCAAACGATAGGTATGAGCACCGCAGTGCGCCAACACACTGTAAAACGATTCCCCCCAAACAAAAAAAAACGTGATACCATTGATTTTTACTTAGCTGTTTAGAAGTATTTTACACAGCTGCTCATAGATATAGGGATCATACACGGGTATACGGGGGTTCTAGTATATAGGGTTTAGGCATATAATGGAAAATGAGAGAAAATGAGATGGAAGCCGTGTTTATACAGGAGTCTTATAGGGAGACGAACCTATACAGGCATTAGTCCTAGGTTTTTTGTTGGTATGATGGTACAGGCTACCTTGCTCAAGATTATGTTGCTGAGTATTTAGGCCCATGTACTCGGTTCAAGGATGATCGCGTGACATCAAGTGTTCCAGAGGTTGGGTTCTGATTGCAGCTGCTTAAGAATGATGGAACATAAAATGGAACTACTATAGTATATTGGGGTTATATAGTGTATATATAAGGGTTATACTGGGATAAATGGAGAGTAAACTGGAACTACTATAATCTATTGGGGTTATATAGAGTTCATTTAGGGGTTATATTGGGATAATGGAAAAATAGAATGGAAAGTACTTAATTTTTTCACTTTGCACCAAAAATGTGCTCACTTCTTAGGGCTAAGTTGGGGCATAAAGCTGACAGATGGTTTTGTTCCGTCTCTAGTTCAGGGCGACCAGGGATGTTGTAGCTTTCCCTGGGCTGGTATTAAACTGTCGCAGGGTTTCTGGGGTGTCGGGGTGTGATCGTCAAAGTTTGGGAGGGGCCTGTGTCGGGTAGATTGCAGAAGATACCTCTGGAGGCGAGATCACCCTGCTTATTACCTCAAGGTTGCTATATAGGGATTATGTAAGGATGAGTTGCTGGTAGCTGGAACGATTTTAAACGCCGAGGAAATACGGAGTGTACCTGGACACCGTCCTTTGGAAGAACATCCATGTGGGAGACATCATCGTCCTCAAAAGCAGCCCGGTTCCTATATAATTCCTATAGAACCCCATGTAATCCCTATATAACCCCATATAACCCCTAAAAAAAGTTCTGCAGGCGGATCACCTAGTGAAACGCAAGTAGTTTCGCCTATTCACTCTAGCTCCTGTTACTCTAGGAAATTGCGGCAAATTGATGCAAGCATTTGATTTCAAGCATTTCCGAGATTGTGCTGTTGGCTGAGTCATAGGTGTTAGTCTCTGTTTCACATTAGTCCTACTTTGAGTGCTGTTTGTTGCTGGCCTGGGGAAGGCGAAGGATGCCACTAGGATTTGATGGCCGCTCTACAAATGATGCTACCCTGTACCGTACTTGTGCCTCTTGATGTTCACAGGGATCTTGCAGCTAACGTGAAGCAGCCTTCAGCACAAAGGTGCAACCGAAAAAAAAATGGGCACCTTGGGAATCCGGGGCGGGCGTTTTGCGTGCGTATGTTCCCTGGATCCTCAGCATGTCTTCCAGGTCCTTCAGATAGGATTTCATAGCCCTTCTCAGCCCCGGTGTTGAAGTCACCTTGATAGCAAGGTGATGAGGAGCTCCCTGCAGACATCGTACCGCTGGCTTGCTCTGGGAGCGAGGGCCAGTGTTACGTGTCGACAGCAACGTGGCTGAAGAGACCGAGCATAACCATATTGAGGACGTCCGGAAATATGAGTAAATCGCGGACATTTGCAACTGCAGGATGTGAAGCAGGCATGCTTCTTGTGCTCCAGCATGGTGCCTGTGTTGGGCCTATTGCGGCCCTGGGGGTAGCGAAGCGAAGATGCAGCTCACAGCCATGTTCAATGTAATCTCCGGGACGCACGCCAGGTTGAGATTTTAATTGGGATGCCGAGGACGCGCTTTTACTTCTACAGGCCTACTGGCACCCAAAAGGCGGAGCGTGCGTAATTGTGTGTAAACATGTCCCTCTCGCGCAATAACTCAAGAGAGTTTCCCTCGCCACATTTTCAGTTTGGACCGATTTATGCATGTATATATATATGAGGTACATATATATATATATGAAATCCACTGTTCGTTCCTCCCAGGCAAATCTGGATGGGGAGACCAACCTCAAGATCAAGGCGTGCCTAGGCCGTCTTTAGGATGTGACTGGAGTTGGTAACTTTCTAAGTTGGGGTTCAGGGTTTAGGGTTTTGGGGGTTTAGGGTTCCAAAATAAAAAGAATCCTCATTATGAGAGCCCCAAAATGGTACCTCTGATTTTGGGAAACCCTAAACCGTATAGAACCATATATATCCCTTTGTATCGCTTACAAGTCCCTTTAAAGGTACCCTTAATTTTGGGAAACCCCCAGTTCAAGTAGCGGCAGACGGATCCCTAAACGCATAAACCCTAAACCCAGAGTTCCTTACTTCGGGGCCGTAGGCCCTCTAGGTAGTGAATGGCTCAGGTGTCTGCGCGCTATAGGATTCTGAGGGCTTTGGGTTTGGGAAGAGGGTCTAGTAAAGTCTACTGTACATCGACTCCCCTCATCGTCCGTTTGATTCATGCTGTTTCTTTGCACACACGCTGAGCAGGCTACAAAGGGTGGGCGTAGGCTTGCTTGCAGTATTTCATTCTAATCCCTGGCATGTTCCATCAAGAAGGATGGTGCTTACAGTTTCCGGTGTTTTCACAAGTTCGTCCTATACACTCACGAAAATTCTCAGGAAAATAGTTGCACTTACTCAACTGGAAAAGCAAGCTTATGCAAGGCTACCCTGGTTCCAACCCCTAGGTTGGATCCCGCTCCCCCTGAAATCCTCACGCATATGCTGAGGGTCCCAAAGGGTCCAACTTTTGTGAGAAGTACCGATTTTGAGCGCAGCTCCTGTCGGACTATGAGGTCTGCTACGGAAGCGCAAGCCTTCCTCTGCAACTTGACATGATGATGGCTGAACATTGAGGTTCTTAAAGAGTGTGGGTTCTGGGTTGACGGCAGGGTTTCAAGATGATTCAAGGAAGAGGACGTTCGGGTCCCCTTCTGCATACTTTGCAGCCCATGTCTGCCCCGTTATTCCTAGTTGCATAGCTTAAGAACGGAGACCGTCGTTCACAATTGCTGCAGAAGCTTGGCTGACTAAGATCTGTCACTGAAGTCACCCGACAGTGACTCCCAAAACCACAGGCTGCGAGAGAAAGAAAGCCGCAGTGAACCATGCAGGGAGGTACCCAAGCTAGTTTCTTCCGGCTCTTCTGTTGTTTCTGTGTTGTTCTTTTTGGGTCGTTTTGATGCAATGTTTGGCAGGTTCAAGCTTTCTTTTTTGGCGCCGCGCTCTGCGCTTGGGGATTTGTGCTTGGTTCGCATCGTGGTCTCTTTTGGGATTTTGGAGTGTCGCAGCTTGGCCCGCTCCCCGAAATCACGAACGGACCGCATGGTGCTAGCAAGAAAGCTAGTGCAGACTTCCATCCAAAGCACAAACAGACCTTCGTGATGAGGGGCGAAACGGAACAGACCGGACTGTAAGCTACTCGTAGCAGCGAAGAGCGCAACGTCAAAACTGTGTGGTTGACCAGATTGTACCCTGCTGTGAACCATGGTGTGACAACTTGTGCAGCTTGTGCAAGGAATGCTTACCGCACTACACACTGGCAGTCGGGGCCCACAGGTACAACACAATGACAACCCGACTCCAAACAGGCCACGTGATCATACCTTTGCACCGTGACGCTCTGAAAATTCAAACTGGGACGGACCCCAGAGCAATGATAAACAAAGCGTAGCAGACCATGACAGCTGAAAGTTTGACACCACAGAAGACCAGATTGAACATGTTATGGCTCTATGTCAGGAAAGCCGCGTGAATCAGACGTGACACCCAAAAACACAAATGCATCACACTATGTTGACAAGCAAGCAAATGCACCTGGCAAGCCGCAGACTTCCCAACAGACCATCTGGACGATGATAAAGCAAAGCGGACCAAAGCTTGATATTAACAATGCTCGGATCAGACCACACCCGACAACAAGAAAACTGGGAGCCAAGACAGTGACACTGCAAACGTTCCCAACCCTGAAGGAACAGTGCAATGACAACAGGAAATCGGAGAAGAGCACCGACCCTGGCACCCCAAAGCCCAAAGTGGGCTTCATCCGTGGCAACAACTAAGCGAAGAAGAACAGGCCGGAACAGTGCTTGAACATGGCTTCTCTCGTTTTCGATTGGTTCTCCTTATTGGCAAAGAAATGGGCCCGGAAGTCATGCTGCAAATTCCAGACAACCTAAGTCCCTCAGCAACAATCCAGATCCCTAGACCCTAAAACCCTAAACCCAAAACCCAACACCCTAAAACCCTTAAGTCCCTTAACAGCAAGCCAGTTCAGGTGATGGTCACGCCCACGGACCACCACTGCTGGATCAGGCAAGGCGCAGAATTGATGCTGGTCAAGGGCTCTTTTGGTTACAGGTAATTCATAGGGAATAAGGGAGAACATATATAGAACATTTTTGTTAAGAGTTGAGGGTGTAGGGTTTAAGGTTTAGGGCTAGGGCTTAGGGTTAGTAGGGAATAGAAGGGTATATATTACATCGGGATTGTATGAGGGTTATGTTCCCTTACTCCCTACTAACTGCCAGTATGTTTGGCGATGCCACACCTCGGAGAGATTTTGCACTAATACTGCTAGTCTAGCGCAAGTCAGTTGAGCCATAATCTAAACTCCTTAAAGGGGGTTATATAGGGGATTACATAGGGGACTACTATAAGGGTTATTAAGGGGGATACTAGGAGTTTCGACTATAGCTCAGTTGGTAGGTTTCAAGATGGTCTTTGATCTGGGAAAGAGGCTTGGGCCACGGGGGTGTGGAGATTTTCAGTTGCAGCAGGTCAGGTTTCACTGTTTTGGATGCATGTTGTTCAGGACAGCAATTTGGGCCCGCAGGTCAAACAGGTTGTGACGTCTGTAAGAATAGAAATCCTCTGACAGTGGGGTTCTGAATCAGCGGCACTTTCTAGAACAGCAAATGGGTTGTTCGCAAAAATATGACCCAATTCTGGTTATAGTTTGTGTTACGACACCTAATATTTGGGGGGGTTGCCAAAACGGGACCCTCATTTCGGGGACTACCCGATCAACCTTACATATCCGTTAGATATATATATATATATCACCAATATATCCCCATAATATTTGAGGGTTTCCATTTTCTTTTCCATTATACCTATATATCTCTATACACACGCACAATTTTGGGAACTACCCAAGAGGGGTGAGGAGGCAAGGAATGCCAATGCCTTTATTGCCTTTGTCTACAGAATAAGCTCAACAGGCACGACTCGTGTCAGGCAAGTGTACTGATCATATGATAACTATACAAATTAATGGAAAGAAAGAATGACAGTACTAAGGATGGCAACAGTAAAACAGGGTACTCATTACATCAGAAATAATATGACTGCGAGCATGCTGATTTCGCTGGGTCAGGCGGTCGAGAAACTGGCCACGCTGAATGCCACTCTGGCCGTCGAGGCTTAGGGGTTTGTTCAATGTGTTGCCTACCTCTACTTACTGGAGGTTAGTAGGGAATGAGGGAATATAGTATGTAGGGATTGTATTCCCTCATTCCCTACCAACCACCCTTAAGCATAGTCATCCTTAATCTTCTAGGTGAGGGCTTGGGATAGACTCCACAATAAGGAAGCCCACAGCACGTTCCCCATGCCCCCATGACTTATATATTTATGTATACATATATATACGTATATATATATATATCGCCTGCATACTTACGGAGGACTACACGCAGAGGAGCTCTAGCCCTAAACTCTAGACCCTGATCCCCAAACCTCGTGCCCCACATTTTGCGCCCTTCTACCGCCGTTACACAAATAAACAATACCCTGTACACTCTACCTAGACCCTCCAACGTAGTATCTTTCTGGCAGCCCGAATAAGAGTCCTACTAAAAAAATACCGAACCCCAACAGGAACCACATTGGAGGGTCTAGGTATGCTTCATCCTACAAACAAAATACTACACAAATAACCCCTATATAATCCCAGTTTCCATTTCATTTCCCATTTTCTTTTCCATTTGATTCTCCATTATAGGGCCCTAAACCCTACATTATTGGGTACCATAGTATCCCCCAATCCCCTTAGAACAATATATCCCCTATATACCCTATTATACTATAGTAGTTTCCATTTTATTTTCCATTATCCCTTCATAAACCCAATATAACCCCAATAAGCCCCTATATAACCCCTATATAATCCCTGTAATCCCTGTGGTTTGTCCTGAAGCCTCAGAAGGCTTCACCTGTCGCAGGCGCCGAGCAAGTCCATCACGAAGTTCTCGGGATCACTGAAGATGCCGGGTTGCTGTTAAGGAACTTGAATTAAGGGATTATCCCTCTATAATGGAGAATCAAATGGAAAATAAAATGGAAACTGGGGGAATATNNGTTCCTTAACAGCAACTCAGGATGGGCCAGAATGGCACGCAGCAGTCCATGTCCTCGCTGCGCCTCGGTACGAGTACGGTTTACGCTTCAGGGTTTAGAGTTCAGGGTGGGGGGGGTTCAGTTTTAGGATTTAGGGTTCAGGGTTTAGGCTTGAGTGTCGGACCGCTGACACCACACTCCACACCACACCGGATTATGAGGACCCCCTGCCATATTGCACTCATTGGTAGCAGGCAGCCATGGTGTTCGTGAAGTATGAGCCTTTTGCTGCCACCGCGACAGAAACTTAGGTCCATCAACAATTTGCTGCTGAGAGGCGCCTGTCTTGGTCGATGACCTTTAACAAGCATGCTTGCTTGTGGTGGACTTTGCTGGTAGTGAGGGGAGACCCCCCAACCTTAGAGGACACCGATTATTCCAGAGACTTTGTTACATGATGTGCTGTGACACTGGCATTTCCGAGCGGAAGAGGGGTCCGTGTCTTCATTAATTGCTCAAATTACGCTGTGTACATCTGGACGCAGGCACACGCCTGCGCAACACGCCCTGGCTCTTCGGCGTAGTCGTCTACACAGGGGCCCACACACGCATGGTGATGAATTCCCGCGAGATTCCGACGAAGATGGCCAACCTGGAGCCTCGAGCTTAAGAGGTGCTAAGTGGAGCGCTTTAACAATTAAGTTTCCGACCGCTGCCGGACTTTCGACTTCAACGTGTCAACGACCCTGAACTTGAGAATTTGGGTCTTGTAAGGTGAGAAGCACGTCAGCGGGAGAGTGTTGAACATTATGGCAGACAAGCCCAAGCACGAGGCCCTTCACTTAACCCTTTGAACCCAAGACCCAGTTGATGAGCACATGATTTCTACAGAATCCCTTCAGGGTTGGCTGTCAACATGGACCGCCTAAGCGGAATCCTATATCTCACAACTCTTAACATGACCCCTCTTTTTCCTGCCTTAAAAGGGGATCCCAAATTCAACAACCACGCTTCATCCCTACTTGGTAGTTTCCCAAAATGAGGGGACCCCAATATAGACCCCAACATATTATAATCCTTATTATTGGGGCCCCTAAAAGGTACCCCTAATTTTGGGAAACCCCTACTTAACGCCAAACCGAAACTGTATCCCAGGAGCGCGTGGTGAACCGGGCCATGCTAGTTGCTGGGTCTGAATGGATGTGTGTATATATGTATATATGTATACTCACGTATGTGTATGTACATCTAATATATATATATGCATATATATATATGTATATAGTGATTGCTGTGGTTTCCCCAATATAGTAACTCAAATTAAGTTACCAGATGTTACCAGAATGGTGTGTATGTAGATAGTACTTCATATTGTTTCTGATTTATAGTATCTCAAACTAAGTTTCTTAAGAGCAACCCAGGTTGTACTCGGTGCGCAGGCAGTGCTTTCCAGCCTCAGCTCAGTCTCTGGGATGCATATTCGTAACAAAAGTCTCGCAGGGTGGAGTAACAAGATTGTAGTTCCCCCTTAAGTAGATAGAATATGGGGTTTCTGGGGGTCTTACTATGGTATACCCAAAGCCCAAAGCCACATTCTAGCTACTTGAGGGGGACTTTAGACCTATAATTACTTAGTCGAGGAACATGGTACCTTGTGCTGTATCTATACCAGTTTCTTTTGCTAACTTGTGGTGAGTTGTGTAGGGCCTTCACGATCGGCTAGAGCGATTTGTAGGTTTGGTAGAGTGGAAGGAGTTTTGCGGCTATTAAGGCTCGTACTTGTTGTTCGGTTCTGTTTGGGTATAGTTTATTTTGCTTCTGCTGCTGCTACTACTACTACTGCTGCTACTACTACTACTACTACCACTACTACTAATTGCTACTAATTACTACTACTACTACTACTACTACTACTAGTACTACTACTACTACTACTACTACTCCTGCTGCTGCTGCTGCTGCTGCTGCTAGTACGACGGCCACCACCGCCACCATTGCTCAGGGCATCCTTGCTACTTGCTAGTCCATGGCATCGTAACCTGCTAAGGTGCTATATGTCTCCAATGAGTGGCGCTTTCGCAGCTCCTGGTATCTCTACCCTGGGGGAAGTTACATCCATGAAGGCGTGGCAGCGAGGCTCGTGGCGAACTGGTTCAAGTTCTTCATCTTGTACTCAAATCTGATGCCCATCTCTCTGTACGCAACCATGGAGATCTGCAACTATTTCCAAGCATACTTTGTGAAGAACGACCTGCAGATGTACGACGAAGAGCAGGTGGGAATATTCGTGCAGGATTAAGGAAGTCTGCAGGCTCTGAGGTTTGGAATTTCAGATTTCCAGGACTTCCTTTCGAACCCAAGGGGGCTGAACCTTTGCTTTCATTCTGTCCAGGGCCAGGGTACTTGGAGTTAAAACTACTCCACACCCATCAGGCTTTTAGGCATCACCCGATTTAGTGAGATCGGAGAGGCCACTGTAGAACTAGTGATGGCATCAAGGCACTCACAAAACCAAAGGTTAGGACTTCATTACAGCCTTGATCACTTTTTCCTCGGAGATTTCAGGACTGTCTGGTGCTAAGACAGAGAGGGAGAATTGATCCTTATAGTTTTTCCTACACAGTCCCCAGATATACCCTTAGAATAGTCCCTATATTCATTCCCCCACTCCCCCTTAAACACTAGTAAGAGGACTGTCCTGCAGCTGTTCGCTCTACGAACCTGTGCCATGAGCTGGGGCAGATCTCGTACATCTTCTCAGCTTCGTATCTGACATAGCAGGGTTTAGGGATTTAGGGATCCTTAAGCCCTATAAGCCCTCAACCCGAAACCCCAGAGGCAGCTGCCAGGATCTTTCGGTTTTTGTTTTTGTTTTGGAATATGGAAGGACCCAGGTATGTCTGAAAAATGGGGTGTCGCTGCGAAGACCCAAATCTAGCTTCATCGTTAAGTAGTGAACAAGCCCCAAAAAGGAATTCGTTTTTTTGACAACATCCACGTGCCCAAAAGGGATTGTAATTCGGATAAGTAGCCACTTATTGAACCTTGTGCTTGGATGCAGTGTACATACCACTGGATGAATTGCTCAGACTGCAAAGGATAAGACGGGGACACTCACTCAGAATGTGATGGAGCTCAAACGAGCCTCGATGGCACTCAATTGTGCTGAGCATATGGTGTTAAATTGTGGTTGTATTCTTCGGACTGTTTTAATCACAAGGTACTGCTTCTTGAGTCTGTAAGTTTACGGTTTCTACCGTGACTGCGAACTGCACTGGTCTGTTGTTGTTTTCCTTGTTCACGTTTTCCTTGTTCACCCAACGAGCTGTCAGCATCCAACTCTTTCGTATCTTGGGAAGTGAGCTTCTCTGAAAATGTAGGCTCCCTTCTCAGTGGTGTTTATATTAAGGAGCACCGTACTTGGATGCAACCCTCCTGGTCCCCCTCCGTTGTGACTTCAGGAAGATCTCCTGGAGCCTATGCCGAAGTAATCCCTACCCCCTTGTGTTAAGAACCCCCCCTATATGACATGTATGTATTAATATTTACTATCAGGGGATGGCGGGGGTTGTTTCATACTAGGCTACGAGGATGCGCTTATTACTTATCATCTAGGAGGACCCCCCACCCTGGGATAGTGGTATACCAGGAATACAAGAGACCCTAGTATAACTACCATTATCTGGGTGGGGGGTCCACCTAATTTGTTATTCTGGGAACCCTAGGTCCTAAGCCTAGTCTTTTGGAGATGGGCTTTCCATCCTCAGGCACCAAGAAGCCAGGAAAGAGCCAGTTTCTTCTTCTGGGGTCTCAAGTGACACAGCTTAATTTTTCTACCCTGGGTTAGCCCCCATCCAGTAGCAGTGGAAAATCAGCAAGAAATAGGACCCCCAAGATAATTACTATCATCCGTGGCGGTCACTAGTAGCGGGTGGGAGCCCAACCCACGTTAGATGTCTCCACAAGGTGTCCCAGAAACAAGCCACATCAAAGATCTTCTTTCGAGCAGTCAAAGGAAGAATCATTGCGCTTCTTTTTGAATCAAAATAGGGATCATATAGGGATTTATACAGGGATATATGGGGTGTAGGGCTTAGGGTTCCCAATATTAGGGATATTACCCCAATAATGGAGAATCAAATGAAAAAGAAAATGGAAAATGAAATGGAAACCTTAGGGGGTCTCTGATCTCTGTCTGCAGTGCTGCTTGATTGCTGTTGTTGGCTCTCTACCAAGCTGAGGCGTCTCCTTTGCTGGGCAGGCACGCCACCTTGATCCGACATGGTAGTACTCAAGTTTGTTGGCGGGTCATGTGTCACCAGGGTGTACAGCGCCGGGCGAGCTGCTCATGGACTTGGATACCAGTATGTCCCCAGTTTCAGCAGCCCAAAGGTTAACGGAGTGGCTTGTCGTTCTGAGGTTCCATTGCTCGATCACTGGACTACAGCTAGCCAGAGTTCTCAGTTGTAAGGCTCTGGTGTCACAGTTTGTAGCCTGTATAAGCCACAGCCCAACATTCTGGGGCATTCCTTGCTCTGGATTTCAGCTTCGCAGTATGACATAGTCCAAGATGACGCACAATGCCGGGCTGCAGGTCACCTCTGATAAACCCCAATCAAAGTTTTCCTTGTCATTTTCCACCTTCTTGTCGATGTGATTCTCGTTTCTGACTCTGTGCGGCCTTAGCTCCGTGATGCACCGCTACGCAGAACAGCACAAGAGTGTTTCAACATCCACGCGTGATTTTTGCCCAGCTGTTCAAGCAGAATCCGGTGTTCAATGCAAAGCAGCAGTGTTTACGGAATGTAGGGGTGATAGACCTCAGGTCAGTCGAACATTCATCCCTCTAAAACCAAAAAATCCTAAAACCCTAAACCCTAAAACCCTCGGCCCTAAACCAAAAAACCCTGAAATCCTAAACCCTGGAACCTGCGCCCAAACCAGCAGCACCAGAGAGAGGCCTTCGGCGAAATCACCGAAGAGCCGGGCTTCTCCGACGTGGAGGGCGTTCGTAGGTGGCGGGAGCTGGGAAACCAAAATCGGGCTCTTGCCCTCGCCTTAGCGCTCAGGGTTGTTTAGGCTTATTTAGGCTTTAGGTGGCCTTGCCTGTGCTTAGCAAGGAATGAGGGAAGGGATCCGGATAGTAAACCCCATTATAGTAGTTTCCATGTTCTTTTCCATGCCTTCATCCCCAGCTAGCGAAAGGCCAGTAGCATGGGACTGGGAGCTGGGAAGTTGCTGACACTCTGATGATTCTCCGTAAGCCTGAACCCAGACCCACACCTTACAAGTAACTGGTAGCCCCATGCTCCTTGACTCCCTTGAGCCGAAGCTTCTGACCCTGAACGACAAGCCTGAAGCTGCTTTCCTCTAAGGACTTTAGGAGGGAC